TTAATTTATGATAACCAGTGTAGAATTCACAGCAGAATGAAAAGGCGTTGGGAAAATATGAGGAGAAGAAGCGAATAACTCTCTTTTAAATTCCTTTAAACAATTTACAGGATAGTAATGTTTAGAATAGAGAGCTTTTTTTTAATTATAGTGGTATTGTAAAAGATAAAAGCTTTAAAATTCTTTTTGTCGATGCAAATTTCACATGGGTTAAAAAGGACATTATTTTTAAAAGCTTCAAGCATCATCTTTCAAATTGTGCCAACAGTTTTGTCATATAAGATCTTCCAAAACATTTGCTGCGAAAACAAAGATTGTTTCCATAAAATTAGCATAGAAGTGTTCATATTATTTTTGTCGAACTTCTATATACATATAGAGAAATCTCCAGTTGAAAATTATTTTAAAATTTTCATACAGTCATTTCAAAATATTTTTTTAACCTTTAATCAAACCAATTACCTATGTCAGCTAACTTTTACACTTTTTGTAGAAGTTTTAAGCAGTTGTAATGAAATAATAATCAAAGCGCAATTAAATTACTTAAATTGAAAAGAAAATTTCTAATTCCACGAGCATTCCAGTACTTGGAGAATGTCTCTGCATGGTTAAGGTTATCTGAAATTTTTTTTAAATGTATAATATATTCTTGGATAATTTATATGCGGAGGTTAAAATCGTTTTAAAACAAATTAATTAAACCAAAAAGCAAATATTAAAACATGAATTGTGCTTCGACAAGGAAGTTTTTACATTACATACGAAACATATAAATTAGCAGGTACGACAATAAGAAAATGGAATTAACACGAAAAACTTTTTTTTCATTGCATCATTCGTGAAACCAATCACTTAGTTCTTATCTAAAGTCAACGTAAGTTATCCATCCAAAGCCATAGTTCTTGGTAAGTTCAAAGTAATACATTGTCTGTTGGTAAAGTTGATTTGTTAAGTTTCAAAATAATTAGCAAATATTTTTAAGGACAATTTTTCAGATTTATAATTACGCTTTGTGTAAAATAACCAAATGTAAGATTTTATTTTTAGGTATCCAACTATCCGAGCCAACATGTCGTAACAAAGAAACCAACGAAGAAGTAGACCCAAGACTTTGTAATTTATCAATCCGTCCGCGTACGAAAGCAAAACATTGCAATAGACATCCATGTCCCATTGTGTAAGTTAATTTTGAATTTATTACTTATGTCTTATACACTTATCTATTTCACTAATGGACAATTGGATAATTATTCTTAGGTGGGCAGACGAAGCCGCTTCGCTGCCAATTCAATTATTAATTTTACGATCGATATCATAATATATAAGAACATAAGGTATTTGAATTCTAATGGTGTAGCTGAAAGAAAAAAAGCAACATTTGAGGAAAGCAATCGGCATATTCAAGTTTTCAAGATTTGTAAGTAATGTACAAAGGTGTCTACTCATTTGAGATTGCCTCATACATATGTTTGGAATTCTTATAAACCGAAAAGCAAAATTTACCAAGTTCTCTAATAGACAATTCTAATTATTCTTTACATCTCAGCAACCGAAGGCAGCACCAACTGATTTATCGGTGGATATTTAAATTAATATCTAAATTGAATATTAAAATTAATATCTAGTCAAATGGAGATAGAGGTTCCTGAGAACAAATCTCTCGTGGCATGTTGAAATCTTCTTTGATGTTTGTAAATGATACCAAGAATATCGTCTAGAGAAAAAAAACTATTAAAGTGACTAAAGTTATCTTTGGTTGTTCTGTTGTTAAGTTCTTGTTGAAATAAGTTAGTGCTACGTGTTAGCATTAAATTCTTGTTGAAGTTAGTGGTGTTACAGTTAACATTAGACTTTGCTGTAAAATGATGCATTCAGTTTTTCAATGTAACGACCGAGTTTATCTAGTTGCATAGTGTTTTTGTGTATATTTTCGTTAGTCATGTATCTCGGTGCGTTTAACATGTATCGTGGTTAATTGTTTTGGAAGATATCAATTTTGAACTTTTGAGATGCAGCTGCAGTTGCCCATGCAAATGCATACCTGCCAACTTTTAATAACTTCCATTATGATTTTCCCCAGTGGTATTAAAATGGAATAAAAATTTCTATTTTAAGCAAAAAAATACGTTGTATTTGAAAAAAGCTTAAGCTGCCTACCATGATGGTAACACATATTAATATATATGCTTAATTTTCTTAAGAATAGTGGTGATGAAAATCATTTAAAAATTTAGTTTATAAAAGAAAAAATAGTATATATTTACTACCACTTTAAATATATAAATAAAATTTTACGCCAAATGCGTAAAAGTTGGCAGGTATGCAAATGAGGCGTAAGTAATGATTCGGCACATGCACGTGATGTAGAGCAGATCTTTGCAGTAAAGAGTTAGTCTTGACTGGTGACTAATGGGACATTATTGGTTTTAGTGATTGATGAGTGTGTTTCGTATTTCTTGGCAAAGTAGTCTCAACATGCTCTTTCCAGTTTAGATTGTATGTTACACTAACTCCAAGATACTTGGCTTTGATAGCCGTAGGTATTTCTTCTGAGAATAGGTGTAATTTTTCTGCTATTTGTACTTATGGGTTATGCTGTCTGACAGCAATGTGATTTGATTTATCTTGGCTTACAATCGGCAGCATCAATTTTAATGTCATACAATCTTGTTTGGAGTTCCTTGATGACATAATTACGTTGTCGTGAGTTGCACATCTGTGTTGTGTCGTCTGCATAGCATGCTGCCATCTTTTGTGTGTAATCATTATCTAGAAAGTCCGAATTGTAAATAGGTATAGGAGAGTTCCTATGATCTAACAGACAAGGAACAGTTAGTTATCCTGGTAAATCATGACACCTTTTAAAATAAAAAATGGTAATAAAGCTGGATTGAAAAATGGCTTAAAGTACTGTTAGCAAGAATAGAGTTAAAAGATTTATTTACTAGGGATGCAATGCTCTATCTTATCCATTCCATTATCTACTATCATTATTTATTAACCAATTCTCTTTTGACCTCGTGTTTGCTCAACATTTTGTAGTGATGTGAATAAGACTTTTTTTAAAAAAAGATAAATAATTTGTGTTTAAGCAGAAATAATAATTTCTCACGCAACTACCACTTTTGTTTTAAAAAAGCATATAATCACACAATATCATATTACGCTTGAAATACTGATATTGCACCAGGGAACATTTAATTTCGATTTCTGTTTCGTGCGAGTTTTGAAGGGATCCTAAATACCTGCAGAACTCTCATTTCACTTCTGCATTCGGTTTTTCTCTAAAAGCTGCAGTTTTTATGCAAGTTTATAATATAAATAGTATTATTTTCAAGCTGATATCTTATAGAAAAATCGCGAAATTATGATTATTAGTACTTTGTCTTCTTTTATGCGCGCCTTTTTAGTCCATTAATCTTTATTTTATTTATTATACTGTTATATTTAATTTCTATCAAGTAAAATTTAAACACCTCAAGAACTTAACCTTCTCTTAGGTGATAATATTGGAAATAAAGCATTAATACCACAAAATACGTTGATGATCACTGAAAAAAACAATTAATTATTTAAATTGTTTTTTAGCTGTTATTGCCATATTTATTGGCTATGTTTATAACTAACGTTACCTTAAAAAAGTGCGCAATGCAAGCAGAAAAATTATTTCCATCAATACATTTCAGGTGGGACACTGGGAAGTGGGGGCCATGCTCCGCAACGTGCGGGACGGGTGTCCAGTCTCGCCCAGTCTTCTGCGTTCAGGGAGGTCCCAACGGATCCCGGATCGATGTCAAAACTGAATTCTGTCCGCGGCACAAGCCAGTTACTGAAAGATCGTGTACAGTAGAAGAATGTCCAAGATGGTTCCAAGGACCGTGGACTCCTGTAAGTAGTTTTTATGGCTGTAAGTTTTAATTGAACCCTTTTGCACTCTGATATCACTTCTGAAGTGACATTAAAAGTCACCTTTCAAAAATAAAAAAAAATTATATCTTAATAATTAGAAGCCACAATATCTTATGAATTTTATAAATTAAGTTAAAAGACTGTATTATTAATTTTAAAGTTTTTTTTCTTCTCCTTTTTAAACTTAATCACTTAGGAGAATTAGATTTAACTTTTTATTTCTTTTTGTATCGCCAATCATCATGTAAACCCCCTACTTCAGGTATTTTACTTTTTTTTTGCAATAACAACTTTTCCACAGGGGATACGCACCCCAGTGCAGGTGACCCGAAAAACAATGCAGTTCCAAGTTAAGTGTCTACATTAGTTCAAACAGAATTTTAAAGTTCCCAGAGTGCAAAGGGTTAATAATTTTGTATGCATTCAAAATCTATTTTTAAATTAATTTACAAATTTCAGTATATTAGGGCTGTTTGTTTACCGGAAAAGTTCATAGACTAGCTGTGAAGTTATTGTCTTTTTATCGCAATGAATAAATGCCCTTCATTACCTAGAGTTATTGACAGTTACATTCCATTGCTGGAAAAGTCTTTTACAGGGATTGGTAAAAAATATTTAAAAACAATTTCTTTCATAGTTGCATACCTTATAACTTTTCAGAATTTTCCCGTACATTTTATTCGTATTTTTAATGTGGTAATAAATTCAAAAAGTAAAGTCTTTGCCTTCATGCTTGATTCCTGTCTTAACAAATTTTATTTGATATAATTTTAAATAGTTTAAACCTACATATCGAAGATTAGCTGGCTATCTTATTGTGTTTTAAATGATAGTGAAAAGCGAATTGTCTATAATATTTCTTGATTTATTTACTGCCACTACGAAAAAACTTTTTGGAGAACTTAAACGTTGGCAGGTATGAAACTCTGTATAAAATTATCTTCCTTTTAGAAACAAATGTTTCGGAAGATTTTACATGGTGCAAAACTGTTGGCACAGTTTAAAAGATCATGTTTGTATCTTTTAGAAACGGAGACCTTTTTACTCATGCAAAATTTTCCTCGTCAAAAATTAGCATATGAAGTTCAAAGCTTTTTTTCCATTTTTAATGCCACTATAAGTAAAAAAGTATTCTAATATAACTAATGCAATCCTCTAAATTGAATTCCTAATTGCGACATTAAAATTTAAAAAAATATATATTAACTTCCTCTTCTCATTTCGGTTGGTCCAAATTTTGCATGATTAAAAAGGACACCATATCTAAAAGCTTCAAGCATGAACTTTCCAATTGTTCCCACAGTTTTGCCATGCAACATTTCTCAAAATATTTGTAGCTAGCGAAAGATTATTTACATAATCTTACAAAATCTTACAAAACAAGCCAGATATGAAATGCTTTTACTGTCAAATCTATATCTTTACCGGTGTTTAAACAGCGATAGTATATGCAAAATATGAACAAGATAATAAAATACGAACCTTTTGTGCGAAGATATTTTGGTTGGTCATTTTCTTCTTACCGTAAAGCACAAATTTTACCAGTAAAACACATAAACAAGAACTAGTTTGTTACGCAAGAAAAGAATTATCTTAAAATATATGACTAAAGCGTTTAGTAAATCCTACTTGATAGCTACTACCAAATAAAACATTTCGTTGAATTTTTTATGCATTGAAGCGTAATGGTAAATATTTTTTACGAAAATTTATTTATTTATTTATTTATTAATTATTTGCAGTGTTCTGTAACTTGTGGGGAAGGTATTCAAACTCGAGCTGTCGTCTGCCGCGATACTAAAAGCCAGTATAGTGAACTTTGTGATCATAACGAGATGCCAAGACCTCAGAAAAATTGTGACTCTAAAACCATTTGTCCGTTGCCATCTCATACGGAAGAAATAACAACACCTCCTCCTTGTGAGTTACTTATAATTCTTTTTCTTTTATTTCTCATCTTGATATTCTTTGAGAAAGAAACAAACAAAATTTTAATCAATTTAGTCTTAATCCTGAAGCATTTAAAATCAGTTACGTTTCTTTCACTCTGCAGATATGTCCACAATAACATACAACATCTGTTAAAAAAAATTATGACTATAATTTAAATGTGAGTCCTTNGAGAGAAACATCCATGCCCTGAGCGGGATTTGAATCCGCAACCATCGGCTCCGCAGATGATCCAAATTTTGCATGATTAAAAAGGACACTATTTCTAAAAACTTCAAGCATGATCTTTTCAATTGTTCCCAAAGTTTTGCCATGCAATATTTCTCAAAATATTTGTAGCTAGAGAAAGATTATTCACATAGAGTTAGCATATTTCCCTAATTTTGCCCAACTCCTGTAAATGCATTATAACTTTTAAGTCTTAGTAATCAAGGTTTTTTATTTGTCTCGAAAACAAGCCAGATATGAAATGCTCTTACTGTCAAATTTATATCTTTACGGGTGTTTAAACAGCGCTAGTACATGCAAAATATGAACAAGATAATAAAATACAAACCCTTTGTGTGAAGATATTTTGGTGGGTCATTTTCCTCTTACTGTAAAGCACCAATTTTACCAGTGAAACACATAAACAAGAACAAGTTTTTTTATGCAAGAAAAGAATTTTCTCAAAATATATGACTAAAACGTTTAATAAATCCTACTTGATAGCTACTACCAAATAAAACATTTCGTCGAATTGTTTATGCATTGATGCGTAATGGTAAATATTTTTTACTAAAAAAATTTATTTAATTTATTTATTTATTTATTATTTGCAGTGTTCTGTTACTTGTGGGGAAGGCATTCAAACTCGGGCTGTTGTCTGCCGCGATACTAAAAGCCAGTATAGTGAACTTTGTGATCATAACGAGATGCCAAGACCTCAGAAAAATTGTGACTCCAAAACCATTTGTCCGTTGCCATCTCATACGGAAGAAATAACAACACCTCCTCCTTGTGAGTTACTTATAATTCTTTTTCTTTTATTTCTCATCTTGATATTCTTTGAGAAAGAAACAAACAAAATTTTAATCAATTTAGTCTTAATCCTGAAGCATTTAAAATCAGTTACGTTTCTTTCACTCTGCAGATATGTCCACAATAACATACAACATCTGTTAAAAAAAATTATGACTATAATTTAAATGTGAGTCCTTAAAATAAACCCTTCATTACCTTATAGAAATAAACCCTTTCATTACCTTAGGTTAGTTAATGAAATTATTCATACTTTTCAGTAAAAACTTACAGAGGTTGATCATAATGGAAAAATGTCTATTCTAACTAATTGCGAACAATTTTTCTTTTAACAGCAAATGTTTTGGAAAATTTTGCATGGCAGAACTACTGGTTCAGCTTAAACGATAGTGCTTGAGGCTTTTTGAAAGCTCTTTTTTACCCATGCAAATTTCGGATCGATCAAAATAAGCATCGGAAGAACCTTTCCAGAACTGCAAATTTAGATAGAACATTTTAATCTGTCATGGTATTGGTAAGTGCGACCTTCATGCCAGCCAACTACTACGCTTTTTGCGAAACATTTTATACAGTGGTAGACATTTAAAAATCAAAGATTTCAGAATTTTTGGTAATTTTGCCAATATTTTAAAAGCCTCACCAGGAGAGAGCTGGCACAAAGTGGCGATGCACATAAACTTTTAAATCATTTATATGTAACAGAGATACTAACTGCTCCGGATTCGACAAAATATTTTAAAAAATGGTTTTCGGTCTATGACCAACCTCTTGAAATAGGCTCAACACGATTTAACTGTTGCAAAGTGGAGTATCACATACGCCTTTGAATTATTTAGAAGTAGTAGTGAGTATAAATATAGTTTATTAACCCCTTCATGCACAGATTTTTTTTTAAAAAAATAACGGCCAAAAAAATAATTTTTTTTAATGTAAAAAAAACACACTTTAGTACATTGTCTTGGACAATTTTGATATACTGCGCTTTTGTTCCATGAAAAAAAGCTATATTTAGAGATGCCAACTGCTCCGAACACACGCCAAAATAATTTTAACACTGTAAATAACTACAAAGTAAATTTTGCAAATATTTAACTGTTTTTACTTGCTTTTTAAAAGGTATAGTATGACATAAGCACTTTTAATGCTTTAATATAGATGTTTTTGTTGTGGTCCCTGCCTTTCGGCACTTGCCACTTCAACGAAGTTATTCGCCAGGGGCGACGAAAGAGAAAAGTCTAATTCTGAAGCACTTGAATATTTCTAAACTAGAGGGAAAAAGTTGTTGACTGGAGTTTGATGTAGTGGCATCACTGAGAGGGAGAGATTCCCTTTAGGAGAGATTGCTGGAGGCCTCCTAATCTTTCAACAGTTCTTGGATCTCCTTAACCAAGGAGACTAATCTGTTAGCAGAGTTCTTAGGAGAGATCTTATCCATGTACCTCTTTCTACTGGGGTGGGCCTCTCACCCAGAGAAATTCGAAGTGTGGGTTTTCGAACAGTTGCAGCATTTGGCGGGAACATCTCTTGGTTTCTTGGCGCACTTCAAACATCTTGGGGTGAAGGTGCAAGTACGTTGAACATGGCAGTAAAGCTGACATCTGTCGCATTGTGGCTGCCGCCTCGAAACTGCTCAGTTCTGAACGAATGCCGTCCGATTTTCTCGATGCTGTAGATCCTCTCGGGATTGGCTATCTCAGGTGAGATGACAAGGAATAGTGGGAGTGGCCTATAGGCCACGCCCTATCTCTTCTTGAATTGAACAATTTTGGTGATTTTTGATTTGAAATTTTTTTTTCACTGGCATGACTTTATCTTTTGTAGTATCAGGCACTGGAACGTCAGTGATGTTCTCAATCGTAGTTTCCATATGCACACCTGCCAACTCGTCCGGATTTTCCGGAAGATTTTATTTTCATATTTAAAGTGGTAGTAAGTATATACTATTTTTTCTTTTATAAACTTAATTTTTAGATGATTTTGATCACCACTATTCTTACAAAAATTAAGCACATATATTAATATGCGTTACTATCATGGTTGTCAACTTAAGGTTTCTCAAATACAACGTATTTGTTTGCTTAAAATTGAAGTTTTAATTCCATTTTAATACCACTGGGAAAAATGATATTCGAAGGGATTAAAAGTTGGCAGGTATGCATATGTGAGGGGACGGCGGGTTCCCGCTGCAATTCAGGATTAAAAGAAGAGCTGCTTTCGGTCTGGGTAGCAGGGCTTCGGCTGTGTTCAATGACTTGTACTGTCTTTCGCTTCTTCTTCTTTTTCTTCCTTGCAGTGGAGGTCTCGGGGTCGGGAACTGTAGGTTGAGACTCCACCATCGTAGCTTCTGTCGGTTCAGATTCACCAGTAGCTTCGTTGTTTTGCTCTGCGTTGAAATCGACTCAGCCTCGACGGTGGTTTTCTCAGCAGCCCGTTTCTCTTTTAGATCTAGTAGCATACCTGCCAACTTTTAATCCTTTCCATTATCATTTTTCCCAGTGGTATTAAAATGGAATTAAAACTTCAATTTTAAGCAAACAAATACGTTGTATTTGAGAAACCTTAAGTTGACAACCATGATAGTAACGCATATTAATATATGTGCTTAATTTTTGTAAGAATAGTGGTGATCAAAATCATTTAAAAATTAAGTTTATAGCAGAGAAAATAGTATATATTTACTACCACTTTAAATATGAAAATAAAATCTTTGGGAAAATCCGGAAGAGTTGGCAGGTGTGTAGTAGGCATTTTTAACTGATAGGAACTCCTGGCTGCATTAATTGCGCTGATTTCTTGATCCTTGCCGGGTCTTTTTGCTTCTCGAAAGCTGCATTGGTAGATTCTTTCCCAACGTGAGATTTCATCATCAATGTTATCTGTAGTGACTTTTTCACTGACATAGTTTTTAATCTGAATGCGATCTTCATCGGCGAGTTGAGGAATAGGTCGAGGAGAAGTCGAAATAAACCGCTTTCAGCCTCTTCCGAATCGGTGGGTAGCAATAAAGTCGTTTTTTTTTCAGAGTTGTAAAATCCCTTGATAATAAAAGTTTTTTGTCAGTTGTTATTTTATATCACAAAACTAGATAAAATAAAAATAATATAATTTTAACAAATCTTAATATGATACATTCTCCTTAACATCGCCTCTATTAATAGTTGCACAACACTGTAATATTTTTGTGAATTTGTGACATTTATATGCAGAGATGCTTATTAGTTTCTTTTTATCGTGCAAAAGATCAATTTGTGAAAAATTCCTCAATTTCATGGTCAATTTTTAAAAAAATATATAGAATGTTATGTGATGTGTTGGTAATTTTGTTACATTCAAAAGTAGCACGAGTTACATTCATTCGAAAGTCACATAAGTAACAGTCATTTAAAAGTTTCATTAAATGTTTAATACGATTGTTATATTGTCTAGAAAAAAGAGAGAAGTAGTGTTGTATATTTAGAAATGTTAATGAAACGTTGGACGTGAAAAATTTTAAAGACTTTTCCAAAAACAAAATTTTTGAAAATAACTTTTAAAAATATTTTACACTTTGTTTAAAATAGTATTAATTCTTAATACAATTCTTAGAGATTTGCTGTTTAAGTTATGATTATACCTCAATTATACTTTATATATTATACCTTATTAATACGGTATAATTATACCTTTGGGTATAATTATATCTTTATAATTATACCTTATTCTTATCAGGTACTCCAAACATAACAACTTCGTCCTCGTCAAATAAGATTTTTTAAATATACATTCCTAATAATTAATTCAGGAAAGCTAAAACCCTGTAAAAGCAATTTCAACCTATTAGTATGATCTCTGGGGCAAACAAACCCTTTCTAAAGCCGTGGTAAGTATACTTACCGCCAATTTTTAAAGTCCATGGGGAACTTTTTTATCACTTTTAATTTAGGTTTCCATTTGTTAATAACTTTAGCTTTATTGAAGTGTGTTTGAATAAAATTGGTAACCATTTGTTAGTTTAAGAAAACGCATAAAAGTTATAAAATACAAAATTCCTTTTGAAGTTTGTAGCATTTACAAAATTTATTTTATAAATAACGAAAAATAAACGTCAATCAGTACCTAATAGGTCGTGGTAAATATACTTACCACCCAAAGAAAAATGGCATTAAAATTTAAATTAATTTTTTATAAGCTAAATGAGTTTTTTTTCCCTCATGTCAATTACTATTCGTATGTCAAATTCAATTCCAAAAATACTTTAATTTACCTTTACTAGAAATAAATGGCTCATTAAAGGGTTAATGTGCAAGAAATAAAAATTTAGATAAATAGTTAACCATTTGAAGATATTCGTCATTTTGAACTATTTACAGAATCAGAAATATCGCAACTTACGTCTTAAAATATTTCTATTTTATCGCTTTCAATAAAATAAACAGAATTTAAACAATGCAATTCAACAAATATAACTCGTGAGTAAAATTATTCATAGAAAAAAACCCACATAAAATAACTTTAACTTATCTGCATTAAAATTAACCAGCCTAATAAAAAAATAATTGAAAACATTATTTAAATGATTTTTCCACTTAATTTATCTAAAACCATAATCTTAGAAGTAAATCATAATTTAAAGTTAAGATAATTAAAACCTTTTTAAAGCATACTGATAAATGCGTGCAATTTATATCTTGAACTCATTTAACAAAGAAATTTCACTTCTATTCAAATCTCAAGGGACTTATATCCATTAACAAGTTAATTAACCGTTCGAAATATTTCATTTCTCACTTGAAGTTTCGGAACAACTTCTTAATTACTCCTTCACCGCATTGTGGCAAGGAACCCTCTCGGCTGAGGGGATTTACATCAAATTCATTATGGCTTGCCTTTTGATTTTCCAGTAGCAAATTGCTTTTGCATTTTTGGGGGCAGATGCAAATACCCTTTCATTTGTTTTGTTATGGGCAATGTTAATTCTGTTTATTACTGACGGGAAAGTT